CTGTACTAATCACATTGCCGATATATGTTGTTGTAACACTAATAATGTAACTAATTTCAGTTCATTGGCCCGTGCCCTTCAACCATCCATTTTAATGCTGCTGAAGCTTTCAGATGGGACAGCTCATCGCTTTGAAGTAAGTCTGATTGCTGTCATAAATAAAAAGAAACCACTTGATGTTCTTTTTAGAAAGTTGAATTACTATCTAAAATGTTAAAGCTTTTGTAAACAATGCATTATCATTGGTTGGTTTGCTTTGGAATACTCCATGTTCAGTGTAGCCACACACAATATATAACCAAATGCCAACCAAAATAATTTCATATCTTGTTCCTAGGCATGTTTTGTTGAAACCTCATTTGTTAGAAGAATATTAATCGCTGTTCCATAAAGTCTGATTTGATTAAATCTGACAAATTTGATTAAATTTGTTACCGACTTTAACCTTCAGACCTGATGATGGCTTTTGATAGCAGGAGAATTACCAGGGTAGTTTAAATAACGTATGATGCACTACTAAACCTCCTACCTAACAATGTTCTCTTCTGTGGCGGAGGTAGTTTTATTGTCTTTCTCTTCAGTACAAACCTTGCTGCTAGAAAGTAAAAAACATCTATGCTTTTTACCTCAAAATTAGTCAGTGGCAGTATTTATGATGCGGTACATAATGGCTTGCCAGAAAATGGCATAAACTCGTCTATATTTTTAACCTTTGAAAAGGAATGCTATTTGTTCTATAAATAACCTGGTGGTGCATACAGGAGTTCAGTGCACAACAGGCATTACATTTGGAGTCTTTAAAAATTTTGGCTTCAGTTCATTTATTAGTAGCAGTCTGGAGGAAGCACCAAAGGGCTGTGGGCTGAAAGAAGTAGATTGATTTTACTGTTACAATGTTTCACAAGAAGACAGCTGTTGAGGAAGGCATAATTTCCGTGCTACACTGCAAAATGTTTAGGCTGTCATTTCACAGAAGAGATTGAATTCTCTCCTGTGTGAAGGGTCCAGTTCTGAACAGCATGCAAGTCCTGTTTGAGGGATTCCATGGAACTTAAATGATGCCATGGATTTCAAATTAACAGCACAGTGAGTTTCACTTAAGAAAATAAAAACTACCGCATCTTCTTTATTGGTTTAGGCTGGGACTTTGTTTCCTGGTATGTAATGTCAACTCTTAGTCTTGGCTGGCTGGTTGCTGGTTTTTGCTTTTAAGTCTGTGAAGAGAGGACCCTTTGCTGGAGCTACTCAGCAGCAACAATGTGTTGCTGAGCCTGGCCAGTACGTGCAGAATTATGGAGAACTGACAAGCCATGTGGCTCTCTTAGATCAGCTCTTTGCTGCTGCTTACCCCTGGATGCCGAAGATCTGGCTGTAAACAGGATTTCTGTACCCGACCAGTGTTCCTCCTACAGTTAGTGTACCTCTTTAGGATAAGCCTGTGTTTTGGTTCAAAGTATCATATGCAAGCAACCATAGTCTTCAGCTGTAGTTTCCTTTCATTCAGATATGTACAGTATGTCCTGTTAACTAACAGGGCTAATTTAAGACCATAAGTCCAGAAGATAATTCTGTTATGAACAATTTTAAAATGTGTATGTCACATGGAGAACTTATGCTGTTTGATCTTTTTTTTTTTTAACATAGCCTGTTTACTGACAATGCAGATTTTGAAACAGCAATGAGTATTGCAGCATTTTTAGTTTTGTAGTGTATATATCGTAAGGGAAAAGAACATGATGCTTTTTTATGAGTTTTTATGCATTTCTGACCAAAAGGGAATTGCAAATCAGATGGTGGATTACTCTCACATAACTGATATCCGAGCCACATTTGGCAGAAGCATGGTAGGAGACTGTCAAAAGAAGTCTGTGTCTTCAGAGTAGGCAAAGAGTAAATTAGCCTGTGCTCTGCAGAGCAGCATGGGACTGGCTAGACTGCAAAGGGTACCCATGCCAGCATACGCATTTGTGCGCTGCACTAATGTTGCTCTGTCACCTGGTCTGTGCCTGTGCCCAGATATGCTCTCAGAAGGTTTTAACAGCACTTAGTAGACTGTTCCATCCATTTGGGTTCTCAGGCTTGCAATGGTAAAGGAAAGTCCATTAATCTTTTGCCTCTCCCCCCACACTCCAGTGAGTCTCTTCCAAGTGAAATAATGACTATGGGTACAATTTTTGCCCGATCCACAGAGAGCGGATTTTGTATTTCTGCACAGAGAGCGGATTTTGTATTTCTGTAACCTGACCATGCCTCTTAACCTTTGAAAAGCTGATCTCCTTTGCTTTGAAACTTGTGCATTAATAAATGCCTGCTGTCCGTTTGTCCAGTCACTTTCCTTAGCATTTACAATTCTGAGTTGCAGCAACATCATTTTTCCTGTATAAAGCTGTCTTCTCTTTGAAGTTGTTATCACATTAGCCTTTTACTCAGTAGTCTAATTTATGAAACCGAATGTAAATTTATGATCAGTGTAGATAAGCCTAAGGCCTCTTTTCTGTCTTAGCAGTTAGCCACAATTAATCTTGTAAAACCAGGTTTTAACCAGGACTAGGTGGCAAGATAAGAAAACGTATTGTATCCAGTTTAAATGCAAAACCATAGTCTGTGCGTTAAATAGTCTTTTCATGGTAATGTTCTCGTATAAATGACACTCTGATTCTTACACCTCACCACGTCTGTATCATTTGACAGAAGTGTTTAGTTGAATTAATCTTGAACTCGAGCCCTCTTTTGTTTTGGATGTGCCATTTGCAAATTGGGAGATATATTGAGGCTCACAGAATAGTGCGCAAGCTTGAATTTGTGTCTGAGACATAGAAGCATCTTAGGAAGTCCTGTTTATGTATTTGTTGCAACAAAGAAGATTAAATCTAGTATAATCAATTCCAAAGATGGAGGTGGGGCTTCTGTATGCTGGATCTTTTATGCTCTGCTAGTTGGCACACAAAAAAATACTCACATTGGCAAGTCAGAGTAATGGGGAAGTTGATTCTAACATATAATAAATCTGAAGATAGATTTTTGTATAAAATCAGGTGTGTGTGGAGAGAGTAACTACAATGTAACCAGATTTTTATACCCAAAGCATTGCCTCCTCTGCTCCTGCCAATCATGCAGCATTTCAAAAGGAAATGCACCCAAATAGTCTGAGTGTTCAGAAAGTTAGAATCTTTCTGGCTGTGACCAAGCTGTAAACATAACTTTGGGGAGAGGGTGGCAGGGCAGCATGTGTGTGTGTATAGGTTAAGTATTTTGGATTTGATGATTTAGTTTGAAAATTTTCACCTCAGTGTAAGAGGAATTTGGCAATATTTCTTTCATTGCCGTTTGTTCCTTCAGTGTAAAAACAAGTATACGTTCCACTGCTCCCCTCTGGCTTGGACGTTAGTATAGACTTGGGAGAGTAAATTGGTTAGCTAAGCCAATGTTTTTGATGGATGGTGCTTCTGCGCTGTTTTACCACACTGATCCAGTTCTGTAAGCTGATGTTGGGAAGCTCTTTCACTTCAAGCGTTTGCAAGAAATTCTGTCTCGTACTTTTGAGTGGTGAAACACACTTGTTACTAAACAGCACTTATTGCTTCATGAATTTCACCCCGTGTTGCTGCATGGCCTACGTTAATTCCTTGTCAGCCATGTGCTTATGCAGCATTCACTTCTGATACTCATCTAATGTTTTTGTTAACTTGGATACAGGTTAGCCTGTCCAGTATTCCCTGTGTTAGTCACAAGTGTTTTGGGGAGCAGAGTAAGGAATGGGGAGTCTCCTTTGTGGAGGCATTATCTTAAAGTCAGCTCTGTGATTTCTGTTGTTTCAGTTCAGGCTTCTGGTCTGTTTTCAGGAGGTCCTCTCTCACACTGGCTTCACCTCATCTTAGCTATAGCCTTGTCGCTATAACTTTTACTATGTTGTGACTACCTCAGTTTTCCCTTCTCATGTAAAATGAGAATGTCCCATAGCTGCTTTTTAGGTAGAGTTCTGTCCTCTCATGTCAAAGCAACAATAATTAGCTCTTGGATGGCCCTTTTTAGCTGCCTAGCTCAAAGTGCTTTAAAGGGATAAGGAGTCAAGGTTTGACAGAAGTTAGTGACAGAATTGGGTCTGAAAGGCAAGGTCCACAAATCTCAAGCCCTGACTTTACCTACTGAACCTTGCCCCTTTTTCCTAATGGAAAACAAGGGCAGTGGCAAATGATTGCTTTCAGGTCTCTAAGCTGAGACATGCTTGTAGATTTGGACAGATGTTTATTTCACTGTTTTAAAATAAAAATGAATAGTAGCAAAAAAGTTTCAATCTTTTTAAAAACTGAAGACCACCCAACTTATTTCATACTTCACAAAACAAAATACTTTCTTAGATTTAACATTTTTGTACTGGGTTTTGAGACTCTTCAAGAGTTTGATATGACTGAGATCCTAAACCCTAGTGTACAAGATGTACCTGCTATTACTTAGCAATAGGAACTCCCCTTTCATTCGTACGTTATGAAGCCAGAAGGGACCCTGGCCATCACCCAGCCAGATTCCCTGTATAATACAAGCCACTGGATTTCCCTGAAGCAACTCATGTTACAGTAAGTCAGCTGCAGTGTATCTTTCAGATAAACATCAAACCTTGACTTAAAATTGCCAGTGATAGATAATCTAGTCATAACCCTTAATAAATTGCTGCAAATGTTAATTACTTGCACAATTGAAAATGTGTCTCATATGGTTAATCTAAATATTCTACCTTCAGTGTCTAGGTAATGTATTTCGTTTACTGAGAGAGAAGAGCTTTTTACTAACAAATCTATTTTCCTCATGAAAGGATTCCTGGTCATCTTATTTCTGGTAGCTATGGCAGCTATGTAGAGTCGTGCTCTGTCCTCTTTGCTCCTGAGGTTGCTGCTGAGTCTCTTCCCCGATAGTCTCCCTCGTGCTTTGAGGGTTGATTCTTTTCTCCTGTGCATTTGGACAAGCAGTATGTCTAGGATTTGCTAGAGGTTTCTGTAGCCTCCATGATGTTCCAGGGTATCTTTTTCTCTCCTTCCAATCCAAGACTCTCTTCCTTTACCACAGCAGCCTTTGGTTTACGTTCCAGAGTAATTCCTTCCTCGCATTAGACATTAAAGAAAATGCAACGTGTAATCCAGTAGAATTGTTCCATACCTGATGTTACAGTATTAAGCACAGAAAACCTGCCACGCTTCTACATGCAGACCACCTCTGAAGCACCTTCATTTACTGCTTCCGTTCACCTAGTCACATTTTCTAGTAGCTGTTATTTAACAGCTGCTCTAATAGGAAGTGATTTATTTTTTTAGAACTTCAGGAAGCAAAGCTGGTCAAAAGCAGGCTAGTTAGGAGCTTCTTACCATACAAACGTGTCTTTCTCAGTTGGCTTGTCCAGGGTTTAACAACCCAGTTACAGAATCTGCAAAGGAACCATCTGATTAAGCACGTTTCACCAACTCCCTTTACTTCAAAGTATGTGGTCCACAGCTCTGCTTTCTAAAACTCCTGTTTGCTCTGCAGCACAGGCATAGGCAAGCAAACTGAACATAGCTTGCATGAAATTGGAAACAACTTTGCGGCTTTTAACAGTTGGGAAACAGAAGAGGTTTTGTGGAGGTCATAGCAGCTCCAGTTTATGAAATCCTAAAGAAACTTTTCCTGACTTACAGTAAAACAAAGTTCAAATGACCTGACGTAAATGAGTGGCTTGTAAGCAGTAGCAAAGTTTCACATACTCTCCTAACTGACTATTATAGTGTAATCCTCTTGGGTTCTCCAACTTCATTCTCTTCCTGGTCATTTAAAAACTCCTGTTTATGTGGAGTGACACAGCTTCCCTTCTTTGGTCACACAGTGAGAACTCATTACCTTTGCACTATTGGAAGAATCGCCGAATTTCATACTTGTCTCTACCAAGTATCACTGCTAGCTTTAAAAAGCCGCAGTGCTTCTCAGCACCACACTTTGCACAAGAGTTTCCTGTCACTTCATTCTTCCTTTTGTTTACTGGTTTGGGGAGCTTGCTCTCCTATTTCTCCTGTGCCCTGTTATTTATGAAAGAAATTCTCTTGTGCATTTTGGTATGTTCTCTAGAGCAATAGATCACTAGCATACATCTCCCATTTTCTGCAGCAAAACTCCTCTTGAAAAAATTGTAACTCACCTCTTGCACTGTATTCTTGCTTTTATTGCATGACCACACACTTGAAAGGAAAAGTCATAACAAATCCTTTGAGCTCCTTAAACAAATGATTCCATTGATTCCTTTCCTTTGTCCACTCTTTTTTTTTTTTTTTTTTTCATGCTGTGCTTTCAAACTTGTGGCCTGTTGGAGAAGTGAGATGACTTGGTTTTGCAATGTACAAACGTAACTCCTTGGGAACAGTGTTTCACTATTGACAGAATTGATCTTTTTCCTGAGCTCCTCCTCTTTCCACCCCAGGGGTCAAAGATGGTTTAGCTGAATTAACTGAATTTTATTTACTTCAAATCCTTTGCCTAAAGTCTAAAAAACTTTTGAGAGAGATTACGCTGACACTGAGGGATGATCCCTGTCCATAGGCACACCTTAAACAATGTTTTTAACGTGTTTCATTGTTTTCTAAAATGAATCTTTCATTTCAGGTGCCTGTTGCAAAGTTTCAAGAACTGAGATACAACGTTGCCCTTATACTGAAGGAAATGAATGATTTGGAAAAAAGAAGCATACTGAAGATCCAGGACTGAGCACTTCCAAATTGGGAGCTTACAGAACAGATTTGAAACTCTCAGCGAGGTTTGTGAATGGCAAAGCAGAGAAACAGCACCGTTTTGCCAGTCTGAATTGCAGTGTAGCGTTTATCATGTCTGCTGTAAATATTTTTTCAATTCAAGTGTTAAAAGCATCAGCTCTTTTCTTAAGACTTAGGAAAAACAAGAAATATATTGATGAAAAAGTGTAATGCTGTTTGTGAGCACTTTTGCATGATTCATCAAAACATTTTTTTAAATAACTGTCTTAATAGATGTAAGAGCCATTTCTTCCTGATTATGATTCATCACTCTAATTATTTTTGAAAGCCTGCTACCGGAAACCCCATCAATGTGTATCGTAAGAAAGCTCTGCAACGTCTCAAATAAAAAAAAAAACCTCTTGCACTCTAATATGACAAATGTGAAATTGATTGAGTTTTGCATAGGTAAAATTGCTGTCTGGCTTCTCCGTAAGTGACTGAGGTATATCTACGTTTTTTTTTAAAGAGTAATTTTGCAGGAAACTTGGATGTAGATTAAGAGAGAAATATAGATTGAGAGCTTTCCAAACCAATTCCATGGAATTGCAGAAGTGGAAAGGTGCAGTCTAAACCTTTATCTGGTTGATAGGAACGCGCTAAAAAGCAGTAGTCTCTTAGATTTCTAAGTGCCTGCCTCTTGTTTCACATATTTCCTATGTTTGACGTGAACTGAATCATCTGACTCTATTACAGGGCAGAAACCTCTGGCGCTGAGCTGATAGCAAACAGCAGGAGCAGTAACCTTGTAGACCACTACAGCTATATACTCATTAGTAGTGCAAGTCAGATCCCAGGATGAAGATGTTGCATACGGCCACTGGGATGGAGGTCACAGGTATGAGAACGTCCAAGCTCCCAGGTCAAGAAAATAGTTAAGCGTGGGCTGAAGCTCCTTTGTCCCATGAGTAAAGCTTGGAAGCGCTTGCTTAACTTGAAGCATATGTTTTAAGTATCACTTAAACTCAGTGGGACCACAAGTATGTCCTTAAGGTCTCCGCCAAGAAAGGATGGATTCCTGATTCAGTGCTTGAATGAGTTTTCCCCCCAGCAGCAAAGATGTGGAGTCTAGGCAACAGCACAAAGACAACACAGCACATGATAGGATTTATCTTGCTGTCAAAGCTAGTTCAGAAAGCACGTAGCACTATTGTTTTGAAGCACTGGCTTATTAGAGCTGGTTGCTGGGTTTCTGCCTCAGTAGTAGTACCACTGTACTTCTCTTTCATTTCATGTGATTGTAGAACTCACCTTTATCCCCCTCACTCCCTGCAGAAAACTATTGAAATTATCATGGATTTGAGAGGCCTTTTATACTCCCACAGGTGTTTGTGTGGGAGGGGATGACTTGGCTCTTGGATTTTAAGACTCACAATAGGCAAAAAAAAGACTTCAGTGTGATGTTGGACTTGCTTCAGACTTCAGTGTGACTTTCTGCTGGAATGAGTCAAGGTATCTGAAGAATTTAGAGTACCATTACCACTGAAAGGGCAGTATTGCAAGGGCAATATTGAGAACATACTATCTCCTCCTTGAAAGGAAAGGCCTGATCAGTCCAAAGCTAGTAAGGACTAAATGTCCAGCTTCACTAGGTGGATGAGTAGAAAGCTTATTGTCCTTTGGATAGAAAGCTTATTGTCCTTTGGATAGCCATGATTTAGAAGTAGGTATAGCTGCCGTCATAATGTTTCTGTGTCTTTAGTCAGTTGTCACTTTCGTTACAAAGTGACTAGTATTTTTTTGTGCCTTCTCCATATTGCTACAGACTTCTGAAAATTTTAAGTGTTGCTTGTCTGGAAAAAAGTGTTTGATGGTAAGATGATACATATTGCTGCTTCTAAGCCATATTAGGTTTTTACCAAGAGCACTTAGAAAGCTAGGCCTTCTTTCCCCTGTTAAAGTGTAGGAACCGGTAGTAGGGAGCAGTCTCTCTCAGGCATCTCTGCAACAAAAGTAACGATGCTTACTTTTTACTTTACCTGAAAATCTTTAAGGACTCGCTGCACAGCATGTCTGCAGGTTAACGAATATGTTTCTAAACGTGTTTATCAGATGATAATTTCTGTCTCAGTGGAGTATTGACATAGGTAAAGTAATGGGCTGTTGAAAACACAAGTTGTGGGAAGAACCAAGCAGAAAACACCAGACTGAAGAAATCTTACCCTTTCCTTTTAATTACCATTTTCTCTGGTGTTAGATCAGTGGATCACAGTTCAGTGTTTAGACACCTAAATAGCTGAGGTCCAGAAAGCCTTTAAAATGTGTAACAATTTGTCCTGTAGTTTTAAATCCATCAACCATGATTTTGAACCATTAAGAAGCTGGATTTTCCATTTGCTATCTTTATCAGCCACCTCTAGGTTTGACACATACTGTATATTAACTACTGTATTAAGGTCACACCATAGCAAATGCAAAGGAGTTAGGTCCTGTAACATGGCTTCAGGTAGACTGTAGATTGCATTAATTTGTTTTCTTTTTTACTTCACTTCATGAAGTTTGTTTGTCGTCTTACCGGATAATTACATCATCCGAAACTGTGAAACAAAACATACGTTCTTATATTCTTTGTTATTACCTTTCCCTGCTGAATGTTTAGATTTACGTGGTTTTGAACTGCAAAGATATCTCAGCTGAGACCATTAGTCAAGTCTTTTAAGACAAATTTAAAAACTGCACGGGCATAAAATGACCTCTAATATTGCTCAAGCAAAGTATTTTCTACTGGTCAAAATAAAAGAATCAATAAATACTTCTACCTTCTATACAAAATATATTCATTCAGTGGTTCTCCTAACAGTAGTCACCCATGTTGTCCAGAAATAGAAAGGCTTCCCAACTGTTTTCCTCAAGTTCTCTGCAGTAGGTGACAGACTTCTTAGTCTAAAGTCTGTCTTGCCACACGTTAAACAAGAGTTTACTGTAATTGGAAGTTACCATGCACACTGAGGGGTACAAAAACCCTTGGCACTTTCTTTTGTACTTAAAAAAGCAGTTCATTTGGGCTTCGTTTTTGGCAGAATAGCTTTTCAATAAAACAGTTTAGTTGTCATCAAAATGCCTACTGGGAATTTCTTGATTTGATAACATAGGTATGTTCAAATTATTATTAGCTTTCTAAGAACTTCAGGGTGAATTATGTATTATTTGTTCAACACCGAAACATTTTCTTGCTTGCAAATTAAAATATTCCAGAATTTGTATTCCATTGAATTTCTGACTTCCGTTCCAATATGGAACAAAAATAACCTGAAAATCTGGGTATGTCTGAACAGAATGTATTTTATCCAAATTACTCTAGGTTTGGTTATGCTTCAGGGACACGCTCTGAATTCCTCTTTCTGTACCACATAGTGAAAGATGGAATTTGAATGGGTTGCTCACTGTGTCAGTCCCAAGGTCTTGTCAAGTCAGTCATCAATTAGGAAGATAGGAGGTTTGCAGGAAAAGGGCGCCGCTTCTTTCTTACTACACGCTGTTCATGGATCAGTTGGTAACAAGGACCTTTCATAGGTTCTACTTGCAGTTTTCCCTGAAAAACAAACCCCAGTGCTCCAGTTGCTTTCTGTGTTTTAACTAGCTAATGTTTTTGTGAATTTTTTAATTCTAGCAACCTTCTAACCATGTAATGTGAACAGAACATTCTCCATTATACCTTTTCTTTCAAGATTAATGTGTTGGAGTACATTTAAGATAAAACTTGAACTTGACTGGTTTTTTTCAATGTAAATAATGTGCATATATAATAGCAGAGAGATGTTCAGTGTATGGAGGAGTAGTTACAGAGCTAGGCAGAACTTAGAAGGAGGGTTAAAGATAATTGCCAAAAATCATTCAGCAATTCAGTGGCAAAATAATACAGAAGAACCCACATCTCTTGACTGTTATTTATCTGACCATGAGTTAGTACAGCTGCTACAATGGTCAGATCTCAGTTTTTTTTTAATTGGCTGAACTCCATGGGCCATCAGTCCAAAACTATTTTTGCCTATCGACCATTACAGAGTGTGCAGAGTGCATGAAAATAAAAAGCCATCTGTGGTTTTATTTGTTATGTGACTTCTACATCCCTGCTTCCAGTGCAGAAGGAGCTTTGTCATGATGACTAGTAGGTCAGAATTTCACACTTCGGTTAGTTGTACAAAAGGCAGGGGGGAATAGAATTGTTGATTGGTTTTGTGGTCTCAACTATGATGCAGACTATAAATCTAGAAGAAGGTTCAAGAATGTAGTCATGCTCTCATACTGTCTGTTAACGCCAGTCATTAACTGCTGGAAGAAGATCGGTATTGTGCTCGTTGTCATTAAAAGGAAGAAATTAAACCTCCTTTTGTAGAAAAATCATACAAGGGAGATAGGCTTTTGCAGAGTGAGTCACCTCCTAGCTTTAACTTTTTCTGTTTAAGGGAAGGATAAATCAGTTCTTGATCTCATGAACAGTGCAGATAGGCAGGGGTTTGCCCCTTTTTTTTTGCTTTCTAATCAAGAACATCGTATGACCCGCTGCTGCTCCAAATCCATGAATATATGTATGAAGGTAGGAAAGCTCCAAATCGTGCTTTCAGGATCTGTTATACAAAAAATCCAACAAATCTGAATTGAGTACATATATTCTTACACAGCTGTTTTTGCTAATGTAATCTTTGCAGAGCTTGGCCAGATGTCAGGACCAAGTTTTTTGTGGTTGTTTGACTTCTGGTGAGCAGCGAAGCAGTAGCTTAGGTTTAAAATACTTTGAAGTTAGTGACTATAAGGCTCACTCTGTACCTGTTGTACCCCACGCACTACTAACATTTACTAAACACCGCACATACCAGGAACCAGCAGAGGCACTGCCAGCTGGTTTCTTTCCTAAGAAGTCACAGCGTTTTCCCATAGGCCATCCACGATAAGGATTTTACTGCTTTCTAGCTTGGGATAAAAGTTTGTGCTAACTCCTTGTAAGCGTACAGCTCCCACCACTACAGTTCACATGCAGAGCTGAAACCCTTCAAAAGAAAAGGGCAGCTGTGCTGCTGGTGGTGTACAAGAACTCCCAGAGGTACCTTTCACAGTGCTTTTTTTTTTTTGAGACTCATTCTAGTCCCAAGTGATCAGACTGTTAGCTAGCCCTGTGGACGCTTTCACATGTTGTAAATAGATCTCGTGGAAGTTCCTTTCAGAGCTCAAACCTTGATTAAATTTTCGGTGATAACCTATTTCCATTCCCTATCTTGAATTCATGTAGTGCTAATAGCCCCCCTTTTATACTACGACTTTTACCTCTTTAAGTGTGTGCTATGTAACTGTGTAAATACCGTTGGCATATCTCTGATAGAGAGATTGTCATTGCATTGCTACTGGTAACCAGTGGTTATGTCACTTTCCCTCGCTTGAATAGGCTTTGACTCATAGTGGTTTTCAGGACAATGGTTATAAAATAGCACACAGAAGGGTTGCTGAGACTATAGTTTTGCAATAGAGACAACTGTCAACCTCAGGGCTACAAGAAAATATTTTCCTTTTTTTCTTTCCTTTTAAGATTTTTTTTCCTATATATAACATGTGGTGTTTTTTGCCTGGAGGTTGGAAAACAAGATGTCTGTACCCTGTTAGCAAGTTTGGATTTGGTGGGAAGGAAAGTTTAGTTGTTGGTTGTTTTTTTTAAGCATAACATATACTTTTGAGAACACGTGCTGATTTGTTTTCTACTGTTCTGAACCATTGCTTAATTGAACCTGAAAGAAGTTCTTCAGCTGTCCTACCTTTTCTTTGAACTATTGGATAGCAGGCTGTGCTGTACTTTGGATGACTGTCTGTCTAAACTGGTTTCAGTAATTCTCTCTGCTGTCAGTTATTATTCAATTAACCTTTTACTTTTTTTAATTAAAGAACTTGCCTGGGTTTAATGGTTAGTTGGTTTTGGTTTTCTGTTTGTTTGTTTGCTTAAAATTCAAGAGCCCCAGAGACAGGGGCCAAATTTTGGGCAGGTGCAAAATGTCTTAGCAGCATGGGAACCAAAGACAACTAAAGGGTCTAATGGCTGGTTTCTGTTCCCAGGTATCCACGGGCTTTCTCTATAAGCAGAAGGACACTGGGATAAACATCACTAAATTCATCACTAAATTAACTCTTATTAATATTGAAGTGCATACTGTTAGATTTAAAGTGAAAAACTAAAGTCACTTATGTTCTGGATCTCAAATCTTAAGTTCATCTGAACTTTCTCAGACATCTTCTGTAAATAAGCTCTTAGAAAAGTCACAGACATCTTCTGTAAATAAGCTCTTAGAAAAGTCACGTTACCTCCCTGTCCTTCCATCTCTTGTCTTGTCTATTTAAACCCCTCAAGGCAGGGCCTGTCCCTTAATACCTGCTTACATTACATTACACGTAGGCTGGGGGCTCCAGGCACTTCCGTAAGTAAGAAACGGGAAGTGAATTCCTTCAGTCCCTCTCTTGAGCTTTGTCAGGAGGCCATTAGTATCTCTGATAGGATATCCTCAGAGATTTCAAACTCTGCAGTGGATTTAAGACGGTGTGAAAAGTGGCCTATATTTTTAGAGTCTTTGAAAATGTATGTGTGCATATTGTGGACATTTCTAGAAACTAGGTGTAAGGTCCATGTAAAACTGCAAGCAACAGATCAGGCAACTTATTTTGAAACAACTGCACCTATCCATGTTCTAACTACTAGCTGAGGTATTTATATGGTAACATAGGTCATTTTCTTAGTCTTTCAGCAGTCATCCTTAGATTACCTTTAGCCCAAAGACTTACACAACAAGCTAGATCCTTTCATATAAAGAAAACGGGTGGGTATGTGCATATTACAGCTGGTCTTAGTATATACAAGCTTATTTTATTTAAGACCTGTGCCTTTTTTTTTTTGCTAGAAGCTGGTGTGGGTAGGTATACGTATCCAGTGTGCCCTGCTGCATGACCAAACAAGATAGGTTCCTTTTGGTTCTCTGTTTCTTTGTCTCGAAAGCACGATGAGCTGACAGAAATTAAACAAATCTATGTAGCAGTGACACTATTTTAAAGAGAGTGATTAAGTGTACAATTAAACCGTTTAAAATTCCAGTTCTGGCAGGAAACGGGCTGCTTGCTTTGTCAGCCTTGCTTTAGGCTGGGACTTCATTAGTACTACCTGAGGTACGGGAAGAGCGAGCACAGGAACGATCCAAGCTACTCACCGCGGTGGCACTGTAGGTCAGTGGGTCAGACCTCGCTCAGTGCCGTGTGATCGGCGGGCCGTCTTGCGGGGGACTTCATTAGTACTACCTGAGGTACGGGAAGAGCGAGCACAGGAACGATCCAAGCTACTCACCGCGGTGGCACTGTAGGTCAGTGGGTCAGACCTCGCTCAGTGCCGTGTGATCGGCGGGCCGTCTTGCGGGCAGCGCCTCACCCCTCTGTGCGGTAGCGGGATGATTCCTGCCGCAGCACAGAGCGGGGAAGC